AGAGAGAATTATTGAGATTCTATTCTTAATAATATTGTGATATTTGGGTAAATGAGTCTCCTATTTATAGAGAAAGAAAACCTTATTCCATAAGGGAAAAGTATTAAAATTTAAGGAAATCTTATTCCATAAGGAAAAGGTATTAAAATTTAAGGAAATAATTCAATTTTAATTGAAAAAAATCCACAAGAAAAAGTATTAAATTCAAGGAAATCTTATTCTACAAGGAAAATGTATTAAAATAATTTAATTTTAATTGAAAAAAAATAGTTAGTAGAGGAGGGATTCGAACTTGGGTCTTGGAGACCTTCATGATACTATTAACCACCAAGCTATTGAACTTTTATGTTAAAATTACGCATGTTTATTTACTTAATTGAATTCAAGAAGTCAAAATAATTACAGAAAAAGAAAACATCCCTGCGGGGAATCGAACCAGGACAAAAAGTAGGATTGCACAGGCTATTGCCAACTCCACTGCGCATCACTTTGTTATTTCAGGGGGTCCAAATTTTATATATACCAATATAAAGTCAAAATTTTATGTGTATTTATAGTATAATTTTTCAACGAAGGGTGTCCAATTGGACACCCTGGAGCCTACGTGGCTCCGCCCCTGTATATGACGTTGTCTGATTGGGTACGAAAGTAGTATGTCATAGTTAAATGAAATGATGAATAATTTTTTTTTAAAAAAATTGTGAATATTATAGGTGAGATCAATATCAAGAGAACAAGTAGAAGAATTGAGAGCTCCATTGGATCCAACATGCAAGAGAAATGCAAGACCAACTCAACCCTTAAATGGAAGACAAATTCAGATGTACGAAGCCCAACCCACCCCTTAATTAAATGGAAGGCAAATAAATGTGTACAAACATTCCCCCATAAAAAAAGACTCCTTTGAAAAAAGAAAAGAATATTACGATGATGTGGATGACACATATTGAATCTTGAAAATTGACCTTTGAGTTATAGTAATGAAAATTGTGCAAGCTTGGCTTAAAGGTTTTGAACAGACGAATAATATCACATCTTGTTAAGAATAACGTATTTATTTGATCACTAACATTCTTTCCAAAAGCACTTCTAATAAGTTGCACAATTTGACTAATTGATTCTCCATCTTAAAAATGAGAGTCCGGAGCCTAAAAGGCAAAAAAAATTATCAAAAATTCCAAAAGGGCACATCACTTTTTTTTCTAACCAAAAGGGCAATATCGCTGCTGACGCAGCGATTTTCCTCTGACAAAATGACAAAATCGCTGTCACAGCAGCAATTTTGTAAAAAAAAATTATTTTTTATTAAGTGGCAGCGATTTTTGTAAAGAAAAAAAAATTATTTTTTATTAAAAATCGCTGCCACGGCAGCGAT